GGAAGGAGGACAAGAGGAGAAGGAAGCCTGCCCTTCCAGCCGTCAGCCGCCGTCGCCGTGACCCCTGCGCTGCGTCCGGCGCCGCCACTCAAACTCAGCCCCCTCGATGCCAAACTCCAACAGGAAAGAAAAGAGAGGAAGAATGAAAGAGAATATCCAACTGCAGGGATCTGAGTCCACTCACACCTCCGCTACCGCCGCCATCTTCCTCCCTGGCCCACTATTTACCCTCCCCTCCCCTCTCCTCTCTCCTCCCCTTCGTCCTCCCATTCTCCCTCTACAGCCCGCCCCGTCCCCCTCCCGGCGTCTGACGCGACACGCCTAGGGCCGGGGTACCCCTCCCGCACCCTACCTCCGGCCCTCCCGAGTGACTACGGGTAGAAAAGTAGGAGTGGACAGCGGCGAGGGCGGGATAGGGACGCCGCACTGCTGCATTCTGGGAAGGATGCGGCCCCATCGGCCGCGCAGCCTCCTGGGAGTTGTAGTCGCGCTCCTGAGGCAACTGGTGAGTGTCCCGCGCTGGGAAGGCTTGTCACCTTGGGGACAGTCGGGCGGTGGGTGGGCTTCGTTTGACAGTTGCGTGACCTTCCCCCTCGGCCTCGCTTCTATCCCTGCCCAGTGTGTTTATGACGAACGCGCCGGGATTGCCGGCCCGGACGTGAGATGACTCTCTGCTGAGGATGCCGGGCCCGCCTTCCATGACCGCTTTCGGAAAGCCTGGGAGTCTGGCCGCTGGCCTGGGCGCGAATGTGTGATCTTCCGCCTCAGCCTCCCGCCGGGGGCTTGTGGCCTCTCTAGTGACAAGGAGGTTTTGTCAAAGCACCACTCTATATTCCAAAGGTCTTCTGTCTCGCCCTTTAGCAATTAGGTTTCACACTTGACCTTTCCTGCATTTTTCTGTTAATTATGAGGTTGTCAGAGAATGATGTACGAAGAGTTTTTAAAGTAAAATAAGAATGTCAGATAATAGCTGAGAGTTTTCTTCTAGCTGTAATTAAATATCTTCCTGAGACCCAAGTTAACCATCCCCACCCATCTGCCTCTCCCTGAAAGAGAAGAAAGGTTGGAGTAGAAACTTTCTTGTTAAAGAAAAGCTAACTAGTGACCAGTAGGTAGCATGGTGATTAAGGTACCGGCAGACTGTGGTTTAAGTCCCAGACCTGGTGGCTTGTTTTCTTTCTGGTGAGCTGATTCTTTTTTGTTGTTGTTATATTATTGTGATATCATTCATTATTCCCTAGGTTGACTTACAGTTATTGAATTTGCTGTAAATCAGTTACAGATCATTTTCCATTGTAAAATTGTGATAATGCATAATAGAAAACTGTTCAAACTAAGCCTTAAGAGGTAAAGCTTTTTAAAATACTTTATGAACCTGTTAAAACAATCTTTAAGTTGTCATTCAAAAAAATAAATAGAGAGGCCAGCAGGTGAGGAGGTGGTTAACCTACCTGATTCCCACATGGCTGTTGGAGTCTCAGACCTAGGCTACTTGAAAATGATGCTGGGTGCATGTATGTAAGTGCCCAAAATCCCCAGAGGAGAATGGAGGAAAAGGAATTGCCGTGTGGTCATCCTCCCTGAGAAATGATTTTAACTTTTCCCTCTGTCTGAGGGGAGTGCTTGTGCCCTATGGCAAAAACCTAAAAAAAAAAAAAAAAAAAAGTAAATAAACAAAAAGAGAAAATTCACTTAGCACATTTTCCCTTTTTATTGAACTTTTACAGTGTTGAATTAGTTTTGCTTTGCCTTGCCATTATCTAATTTAGACTTCCTAGTTCTGATTTTCTAAGCTCTAGGTTTTAGAATGTTATTACTCTTAAATAAAGAGTTATGAATTAATGAGAAATTCACTTCATAATACAATTTAGAATCATGGGAACATAGTTTGTTTTTCAATTCAACTTTGTATTGTATGAGAGGACTTCTGAAAGTCCATGTAAAGGTAAAATTAAAGATCAAGTTTATTTTGGTGCAAAAGAAAATTTGAGGACTGAGGTGTGTGTCATGCTGGGCAAAGTCTCTTTAAAATCTAAATGATGTTTAGGGGTTAAATGTATAAAAAATAATTAAAATTAATAAAGAAAAAATATAAAAAAGACAAAAAAAGAAAAAAAAGAACATTTGAAATCCATGCATAGTTTTTTTTCAGAATGAGCGTTTTTCATGAACTTTTGAAGACTCCTTGTAGTTTATCTTTCTGTTATTGATTGTGCTTGGTTGTTGACTATTAGCACTTAGGTCACTAAGGTACCACTTAGTAGGAAGTTGTTTCATTGTACTTAGTATTAACAGGAGAGAAATTGACTTTTTAAGAAAGGTCCTTGCTACATTGTTTCCTTGTGCTTAAAAAATTAAGATGTTTTTAAATATAGAAAGCTTTCTGTATAATGCTTAGAATACTACATTAGTGGTTGGAATTTATTTCATTACTATTGATTGAAATAAACAGCCATATAAGAATAAGATCCATAAGTTTTCTTTATTCAATGGTGACAATGATAGTGTTTGAATTTTCTCTTTTATTTAGAGCCTTCTCACCTTCTAAATGTTTTATATTTTCTCTTTCATTTATGTTATTTTTACTTTTAGAGTTTTGCTTTTTAGAGTTTCACCTCTGATTTATTTTTAAATAAATTATTTATTTGAACTCTTAAGAGTTTAATTGTTCCTTTAAAGATGGTTACATGGCCCAGCACTTTACTGCACAGTCTATTCTTTATTTTAGGTTTTTGCCATAGGGCATGTGTGCTTATAGAAGAGAGAAAGAGAAAGTGAGACAGTGAGAGGGAAAGTGAGAAATCACCTGCCAGGGTGGATGGCCATGCCACAATCCCTTCCATTCTCCTCCTGGAATTGGTCATGCATGCACATGTGCCCAGAGTAATTTTTGAGTCGCCAGGTCCAGGACTCAAATTGCACTTGGCCATTTGGGAGTCCAGTGCCTTAAATACCATGCCACCTGCTGGCCCCTGAATAATCTATTCTTATCCTTACAGTTTTTTTGTTTGTTTGTTTGTTTTTGTTTTTGTTTTTTAGTCTTTTCTATAGGGTACATGCACTTACTGGAAAGAGACACACACAGAGAGAAAGAGACAGAGAAAGTGAAAATTCACCTCCACCATTTTCCTGTAAGGATTTTTGGGCATGCACACACAGATGCCCAGGGTATTTTTCAAGCCACTGGGTCTGGGATGCATACTGTAAAGTCAGCCATGTGGATCCAGCCACCTTAACTTTCACGCCACCTGCTGGCCCACTATATAATTTTATTATATGCAAAATTTCCATATCTAGGTCTATTTCTGGACGCCATTATTTTTCATTGATGTATTTGTCTATAACTATGCTAATGCCACTCAGGTTTAATTACTACTTAATTTATACTATTTTCATATATATATGAAAAGTTCTTCCTTTTTTTTTTTATTTTGGTATGTGTTTTTTCTCCTTCCTAATGACTTTTAGAACATCTTATCAAATTCCGTGAGTAATTCTGTGGGGATTTGGATTAAGAATTTGTTTAATTTGTGAAGAAATGAGATTTTTACAATATTAAGTATTTACATTAGTTAGGCCTTTTAAATACTTAATTTGACTTATTTGTTAAAATTATTCAAGATGAGTATTATTGGCCCCATTTTTAGGATAATGAAACCAAAACTTAGGGAGGCTAAGTAACTTACCCAGTATTACATAGACACTAAGTGGCTGAGTTAGGGTTTGAACCTAGGTCTAGCTCATTTCAACAATTATGCATACCCTTTCTCTGTTCAGAATACCTCTAAAAGTGGGAGGAATTTTGTGAATAAATAATGTATTCTGTAATAACTATATCAGAGCCACTGTGATCTTAATTCAGGTAAGGCTTTCAGATATCTTTCATTTCCCTAGCCCTTACATCTATGCTGTCTATTTAACCCCACCATCAACTTTGTAGAATTTGTTATTCCTATTCTGTTTCTTATGCTTCAAAGGAGGAGACTGAACCATGGAAATGAAATAATTTTCCAAAGGTAATACAGCTAATAAAGGACATAGTTTTGAGTGTGAGCCCAAATATCCAGATTCCAGAGTTAATTCTTATCCCACTAGAATTCATAATTTTTTTCTTCTTGTCTTCTAACTCACACATCTCCTCTGCCCCCAACTAGGTCTCAACTAAACAACAAATCTAAAACATTCATCTCTACCTTCTACTCCTACTGCCAAAACACAGAAGGCAAAAAAACCCAGATCTGTTGGAATTGATAATGTTTGCAATTTCAGTAACCAATAGGTGAAGGGGGAATATTTATAGAAGGAGAGGATGTTCCAAGTTGAAACTGTAAACATTATCTATTCTTTTAATATTGTAATAATCTCTGTCAGTCAGCTCAGGCTGTCATAACAAAATATCAGGGACTGGAGGCCTCACTGCGGTGCACACAGGTGCACACTGGTTGATACTGCTATTTGTCAGTCTGTAGACCCATGAAAGGTTCAAAAGCCCAAGGTAGGAAAATCATGAGCTCATGGGCAGCATGGCAAGTCTACATCTGAAAGAGTGAGTCACAGTGTAATGTAGCAATGACTGTTATCTCAGGCATGCCTGAGATAACAACATAAGGACACCTTGTCTTTAGAAAAAATAAATAACAGAATGGAGAGCTCTGATGTCTCTCTGCTTTACAAGGGCAATCTTAACAGTATTAGAATCTAGTCCTTATGACCTCATTTAACCTTAATTACCTCCTTGTAGGGCCTGTGTCCAAATTGAGAATTTGGGCTTCAACATAAATTTTTAGTCCATAACAGACTCTGTATGTTCTATATTCCCACAATATTTATTGTATTAAAGATGCATTTTGAGTTAAATAGTCCTTTGTTAGCTAATTTGGATCTCTAACCATTCTTTGTAATGTAGGTCCCACTTCAACACTGAACCATAATTATTTAAAAATGGGAAATTTACATAAGAAGTGTGATTTTGCAAATGGAGATGTTAATCTATGTTAATCTATGAAATAGAGGTAATAATCTGTGAATAGTAGTAGGGTAAAAACTGGAGGATAGGCCCAGCCCTGTATTGCAGTGGTTAAGCACTGTGTGTTGGGACCTGGATCCCACATAGCTGACTATGGTTTGAATTCCATCCATGGTGGTTTGAGAAACACACTGGACATGTATGTGTGCATGCCCCTGACAGGATAGAGAAAGGGAAGAAAAGGAATTGCAGCATTACCATGCCTCATGGTGGGGTGTTTCTTTCTCTCCTCTCTCTGGCAAGTGTGAGTACTCTTAAAATAAAACAAAACAAAACCCTGTGGAGGTTCCCTCTCCTTCTATCTGTCTGAATAAGTTTATACATAAGTGGAGAAAAAAGCTCTGGAGAACAGGTTCAGCCATGTTGTAATGGTAGCACAGTGCTCTGCAGGGCTTACGGCTGCATGGAGGATTGAAGTTTG